TTTCAGAATCCTAAATTTAAAGAAAATCTTTGCTAAATTTCAGGAACTCCAAAAATGGAATTGCGTCGTTGTGCATCGTTTTCTTCTATCCACCCTTTTTCTCATTTCATGTAACAAAAAAAACCCATTTTTCTCCAAAAATTTTAAGTTTCCGTTTTGGTTTTTTTTTTACCTCGCGACAGTCTTCTTCTCTCTCGGGTTCCCAATTCCCTCAAATCTTGGGAACCTGAACATTTCTGTCCTCAACTTCATGATCAATTCTCCAGGTAAGAAGAACCTCTAATCTCTTTTTCCTTGCTTGACAAGGTACATAACCTAATTATGTGTTTCTTTCTTGCAGAATGGGTCTCAAGCTCTCAAGAGGGCCTGTAAAAGAGAAATTGACTCTAGAATTGACGAGGGTTCACATTCTGACTTATCTAACCACAAATTCTTACCTACGTAACTTGGTATCCAAGAAAAGAAGACGGTTAATCATCGGTGGATATGATCTCGACATGTCGTACATTTCAGACAAATTGTTGGCTATGTCTTTTCCCGCTGAACGAATGAGAGCGGTTTATAGAAACCCTCTTTGGCAAGTCAAGTCCGTGCTCGATATGCGACATCCTGATCACTACAAGGTCAATGAGAAAAATGATCAATCGAAAACATTTGAATCTATAAATTTAACCATTCTTTTTTTTTAACATTTTTCATGCGATTTTTGGTCAGGTTTATAACCTATGCATAGAGGAATCTTATGATCCAGAAAACTTTGATGGCCGCGTTGAAAGGTTTCCGTTTGATGACAATCATGTTCCATCTCTTAAAATGATACAACTTTTCTGCGAAAGTGTTCATTCTTGGCTCTCATTAGATCCTAAAAACATCGCGGTTGTCCATTGCATGGTATACTATTAAAACCGAAATCCGGTTTCTTCCATATTTTGTACTGTCAGATTTCTAAGGCTTCCTATAGATTTCTTGTACGAAATATACGTTTGACAAAAAGAAAATTCACAAGATCTTTATATATAGTTTGAGACGGTCTTAAAGGCGTGTAACATAATATACTTTGTGTAGGCAGGAAAAGGTCGAACAGGGTTAATGGTATCGGCGTACCTTGTTTATGGCGGAATGTCACCTGAAGAAGCTCTTGAGATGTATGCAAGTAGAAGGACCACAAACAATAATGGAGTAAGTCCTTAGTTAACCTACGAATAGAGTAAGCTAATTAATAAGGCAAGTGTTAATTTCTTGATTAATTCTTGGACAGGTCTCAATACCAAGCCAACGTCGTTATGTGAAATACTGGTCAGATTTACTATCTTTTCCTAACGGAATTATAAATGGACCTCCATATGTTAAATTACCTCAAGAACATAGCAGAGAGTTGCTGAGAATTAGACTCTATGATACAGCCAACGTTGATTCCGTCTTCTTTGTCGTCTCAGAACTTCAAGAGGTAATGAATTGATACATTGCAGACTCTGTTTCTGCTTGAAATATACATTTTGATGCATTGTTGACTGTGTTTCTGATGTTAGGTTCCAAATGAGATGTATCGACCATCAGTAGAACTTGCAAGAGGTTGCTGTAGACAATTCAAGAAAGGGTATTGTAGAAGTTCGAGTCCACGGTATTATATTTCTCATGTGAACTGTGAATCAGAAGAAGATGAGGAGATAACAGATGGAGAAGGGCCGCGTCTTGTTGTTCAAATGGATACAGAGAGTTCCATTATCGACGAGAAAACATGTCTTGATTTCTACTTTGACAAACCTGTGAGAGTAAGTCACAAAAAATCAAATCTTTAAGACAATATTTGAGAAGATTTTTGATAAGCATATGATTCTTGGACAGGTAAGTGGAGACATACGCATTACATTCTACCAAAAAATGATTGGAAGCCGACTCTTTTATACTTGCTTCAACACTGCTTTTATAACCAATGGCTTGCTTCAGGTAAGATTCTCCAAATCCTATAAGCCATTACTATTTGTCCTTCAGATGCTTATCAATATCTAGTTTTGCTTCTGCAGTTTTCCATAAGAGAGCTAGATAAAGTTGGTGGTAATGGAAGATCAATATCTGGTCCTGATTTTAGCCTGGAGTTACTCTTTGGTCCCGCTAGTTCCAAAGCCGGAAAGCTTCTTTCCCGTGATGACCTTTGTCTCCCTTGAAGTCTCCATTTCAGCTCTTTCAGAATCGAATCGTTAAAGCTCATAGGATTCAACTCTTACGAGTCTTTTTAACAGTTCTGGTTTAGAAAATCAGCCACAAAGAGAGGTCCGAATAGCTCGAGCTTATACCTGCAAACACTTCAATGGCTGAAAACAAAGTTTCCATGTACAAATGCAGAGGTCAATGAGAAATCTTTAAACAGTAGCAGCAAGCGAGCGACGTTCTAAATCTAAACAATGTTTTTTGTAGCAGGGACTGCAATTTTGGTAAATGATAGACAGTAATGTGATCTTTAAGATTCTCTTGCCATCCATTGTTTCACACGGATAGTCTGTATCTAGTTTAAGATGACTGAATAAAGTTCTTTTTCCACCAGATACTCTGTTCTCGAATACACTTCCCGATACCAAAAGTCGAGGAAACGGTTTTATTATTATCGGAATACAAAAGTCGAGGAAACGGTTTTATTATTATCGGAATACAACTTACCATTAAACTGACATCATAGTATCTGTGAAGCTTGAACACGAGCTAATTTGATGGGAAAACATAACTTAAACCAGAACAGAAAAGCATGAGAAGAGATCTTTCTTTTATTCTTGAATCTTGTTCTTTGAAATCACCTCAAAGGATATGCCATTCTCTTCGAGTCGCTGCTGGATATCGGTTGAACCAAATACAATGCCAGGCGTGTAGACTCCTCCTTTAACTAGGCTTTCGCGCTGGCCCAAGACTATCAAACCGCATTGAACAAGTGTTATCGGGGTGGTTATATACCCAATCTCAGGTCCTGAAATTCTTGTAATAATTTCCATGTCAGGCTTTGTCTTTCCTTCTGAAACAAGACTCTCTTCGCTGTAGCCACGACCTATAAACCACATCTTAAACGTAGCGCTTTCTACCTCTTCTTCACTTGGACCCTTCTTCTGGAACCAACCAAGGCTAAAAACCGAAGGGAATTTCAAAAGAAGCCATCTTCCGAAGGAGAACTTGGAAAGTAGACCAAGGGACACTCCTAGTGTAACATATCGGAATATCCCAAAGAGAGATTTGGATGTTATCTTTACACCGAAATGAGCTGGCTTGATCGTTGACCAGAATGCTTCTCTCTTCTGTATTTGATCAGGACTCTCGTTAAGCCCAGGAAGCCCATGTGGTTTCTCTGTTAGAGTTGTGAGAGTTCTACGAACAACTACTGCATCAGCAGAAGGTAGCTTTAAAGCCCAAAGGCCAATCTTCTTCTGGTTTTCTAGTGTTGGTCCTTTAGCTGGTGGACCAGGAATCTGCAGATACATTTTTCAATATTAACCAAAGCCTAATATTGCCAAAGTTCAAAATTACAACAAATCTGAGGAAACACTAACGCTTTCCTTACCCTATCGTACTCGCTGGATATAATCTTAATCGAATTTATTTCAATGTCACATTATCTTATAAGCCTACTTACCGATGGCCTTGACTTTCTTGGTCTTGAACGTCTCAGTTCTTGAAGCTTTTTTGCATTGGCGACACCTAAAACCGCAGACTCATAAGTCCCAAAGTTTCCAGCAATTTTTTTGTTAGACTCCAAGCTGAGGTATGCTTCGATCTGGTTAGGAACTGATGGAGTTACCCATTGTTTGGAGTTGAAAAGAAGACCCAATTCAGCAGGCATTGAATCGAAACCACAAGCAGAAACGATTAAAGAACCGGTTTCTTCGGCTTTTTCGTGGTACTTAGCTTCCATTCTCTCCATGAACTCAGGTTCACCACTTATATCCAAATAATCACACCTATAAAACAACCATGTAGCAGCCAAACCAAGCTTAAACAAGATTACACTACCTAAAAATTTGATCTTGCTACCTCTGAAACAGAGTTTTAAATGTCAAAAATCAAACCCATGAAACAAAATTTCAACTTTTTAGTTCACACTGAGACTAAACAGAGTAAAAAGACGAATTTACCCTGAATCAGCACAAGCGGCGACGACAGGCTCGCCATGGATGCGAAAGGGTCCAACACAATTGAGGATGAGTTTGGTTTGGGTACAGAGACGGCGAAGTGAATCCGCGTCGGATGTATCAGCGGTGAGGATAGCGACGGAAGAAGGAGGCGGGTTCGGGTGGGAAGCCCACTGAAGAGATTGGGTTAACCGGGTCGGGTTACGACCCGCTAAAGCTAGGGTCTTTAACGGAGAAGACGGTGTTTGGAAGAACTTGAGAGCTTCTCGGACGACGTATTTGCCGGTAAATCCGGATGCTCCGAGTATGACGATATCGTAAACCGGATCGGGTTTTCGGGTTGGATCCATCGTGATCGGATTCGGAGAGATTCTTTTTGGGTTGGAGTGTGATTTTGTGCAAGAAGCTTTTATGGAGGTGTGTGTTCACCGATATCGACGACCAAGGGAGTGATTACACGTCACTAACGTACAAATGGTGGAGTATATATTACATTAAATACATTAGTATCCTCACTTATAAATACATTAAAAATTAGACAAATTTTGTGAAATGCCACATTTTAAAAAATATTCATAATAACAAAAAATAAATTATATACTTACTCATTATAGATATATATTAATTATGTGAAAATTTGTAAAAATAATTCAAAATATAGAGTTAAATTAGATAAAAAATTCAAGTGAAGAATATCACTAAAAACCTGTAAAATATTTAATAGAGAAATTTCAAAAAATGCCATTTTTCAAGTGCCATTTTACAAAAATGCCACACTTTTGAAATCTTTACAAAAATGCCACTTTTTCAAAATTATATTTTCTTTATATTATTTATGTTTGGGTTACTTATGTTCTATTAGGGTTTAGTTTTGAGTGTTTATGGGGTTTTAGGTGTCAAAACATTT